AATCATCATTGGTGTTGAGTGCTGAGTACATAGGTCCTTGAATGTTTTTTGTTTTCTCAGAGATGGATATGCAAAACTCCTGAGGAGGAGACTTTCTTTGGAGCTTGGATATTGGCCATCTCGTTCCGATGATCAGTGACTCACACCACCAGAGCAGTGAAAACCACAGATGGAAGAGAACGGGGCGAAGCAGAAAGACTTGTTCTCACTTCGAACTTGCTTCAATTCAAATTCAGTTTTTTCATGTGTTTTCTTTAAATTAAGCTAACATATCCATCAGGACTTGAGAGGCCACCAGCCGTATTGGCTCAAACATGATAGGAGGATGGTCATGAATCCCAAGCAGGATCCCAAGCTGTGAGGAGTTGACCCTCTGACTCACCTTCCATGGAAGTGGATGACATGGTCCCTTGGAAGACCACCTTCCTGGACCAACAAGGACTGTTTCAGAAAACCGGTGGCTCTGACTGTTTCTGTGTCTAACACTTTCGAAGGAAGGCTTCCCACGCGTAGAAAAGGCGACCATAGACCCCCACTTCACTAATCAGACAGGACATCAAAACCACTCAACACGTCCACAGTGCAAAATCTGATCTTTAAAAAGGCATGTGAATGAAGCACCAAGTTACAAGTTTTTCAAGCATGAACTTTTGAGACTCACCCCACCCGATTGGCTCTCCACCCATCGGCCTTTTTGTGTTGGGCCGCCATCACCCTGCTGCCCGGCCATGGGGCACCAGCTCTGCCGCCGCCGAGCGCCAGCGCCAGCGGCAGCGGAGCTGAGACCGAGGTTGGGATCTGCCCATTGGGCTGGTGATTCACGTGGAGAAACAGTTGGTTGAGAGACGAGAGAAGTATATAGTCTAGTGGTCCCCAAATAGATGGCACGGTTTTCAATGCATTTTGGGTCGGGGATCTGACCTACTTCCATCTATTTGGGGGTGTCTATATACTCTATTAGTTTGAAGATGTTGGAAGATGTGGGTAATAGGGATGACCAGCCATGACCAGAAGGAGAAGAAACAGGGCAGGACAGATGATGATGGTGTGACATGGGACAAAGAACAATTGGGGTCTCACCTATTGTCGTTTGGGGGTTTGACCATCCTAAAGACACTCAGCACAGTGGTTCCAGACTCGGCCAAACAAGGAAGGCAACCGCGGGGTTTCCTAGTCTCAGCATTTGCTTTGGTTTTCACACTGGTTCTCACGCACCCTCCAGCAGCTCTGCCTCAGCTTTCAATTTGTGTAGTGAACAAGTGATTGCAGGTGGTGGCGTGTTGCATTTGGTCATTTTTTCCAACCTAGCTTAGCCTAGCTTATTATGTCGACCCATTGTGCTCACTTGGCAACACAATACGTAGCCACTGTCACGTTTCAACCTCTCGTAGTCTCCCACTGTCAAGAAACTCTCAACCAACCCCAAATGTCACCTTACCATACCTTACCCAGATTACCCACCTTACCATACCCACCTGATCATACCTTACCCACCCAAATCAGCTCCAAGCACTTGACGTTTCAAGATTCAATGGCGTCTCCGTCTATTCCTCGTCTCGTTGGATCGCCCCACGCGTGGACGCGGTGGACGCGGCTGCGTCAGGTGCCGCGGCGACCCAGTCACGGCGGTGGACCGGCGCTGGGCAGAGGAGCGCTGTGAGCGGTGCACGCGGCCTGGAGGGCGTTCAGTCGAAATCGACTCGGAGTTTTTGTTTCGACTCGGTTGGTAAGTTTCTTTATAGTACTCAGTCATACTCATTTGTGCTGGTTTTGACTAGGCGTTCACTTTTTTTCATTACATGGTTTGTCGACTCTGGATTTCGTAGGCTTGGGGGTTACGGTTACGGGTCATGAGTTTTCATGGATTTGGGTGGGTCTTTCCTTGCCTTTGCTTGGGTTCCTGTACAACTGGTGTATGGACTGTTTTGCACCACCGAATCCGAGCGCCGAGCACTGCGGTGTCTGATTCCCGGTCCGAGGCTCGCCTATTCGCGGGTGGGACATGAAAGCTTAGCGGAGTGCACGACGGTCCGGAGCCAAGCAGAAGGGTCAGACTTCCGGTGCCGTGGGGTGTGCAGCACCATTCCATGCAGCGAAGGGTCCAAACAGGTCAGACGCCACGTGGGTGGTGGAGGTGGGTGGAGGTGGTCAGAGGCCACCCCCCTGGGGAGTGGAGAAGCTCCGGATGGAGCCGTGGAGAAGCTCCTTCTCGTCCTGGTCTGGACAGCGTTACAGCCAAGCTCCGGATGTCTTCAGGTTGTTCCGACTGATGGAAATTGGGCATTCCAGTTGACTTGTGTCGGGGGGTGGTAGGTAGAACAAACGGTGAAATTGGACAGGCGACCAGGAGCTATCAGATGTGCATCTTGTGTTTTTTCCGTGTAGATCTGGTCCATCCACCACAAGCTTTTGCCTCTCCATCACATTCACCGCCGCAATCTCGTTTGTTTTCAACACCGACCCTGCAAAGGTTGGAGAGCTTGAAGACTACGTCGCGGACCTTGAGGCACTTTTGAGACGCGCCCAATAAGACTTGCGATGCGTGGGGTGTGTGTTGCGACAATCTGATTTCGGATTGCAAGAGAAAACATACACAATGAGTTATATAATTGATTGTTTTGGGTTTCCTCCTCTGTGGCAACGTCTGGCTGTCCTGCTCGACAGTCTTGAAGGAAGCACCATGGGAGCCGCATGTCTTGGAAGTATTCCAGACTTGGAGAGCCTTTAGGCAGTTAGAGACTTTTCCTGTGATTTAGGCATCCTGGAGGCAGTTGTCCAGAAACCCTCAGCCTCTAACCAACAAGTCGTTTTGGGATCAAATCAGAGTCAAATCTACTGTTTTAGCCTGGTGTTTTGTGCTTGCTAAGCAGCCAGAACTAGAGTAGAGAAGACTTCTTCGCTTCCGGTTTACATCTTTCTCCCAGGGTTGTGACTAGGTTTTGAGAACATGTCTCCAAAACATCCTCGGCCCACAACATCCCAATTGCTTTAGGCGTTTACCTACTACCATTCTGCTCTGTTCGCATCCTCGAGGGCAGGTGCCATCCCAAGGACGTGGCCTCTAGAAAGCGACCTATCATCCATTCCCAAACACTCCATGGGACTGCCATATATGCCTACATTGGGGTGGTTTTGGGGGTCAATGTAGGCATATATGGCAGTCCCATGGAGTGTCTGGGATTTCTATCCGATGGTTTTCACGCCCGTTGCCACCCGGCGAAGACGCGACGGCCGAGGCGCGCGAGCGGCTTTTGGCCGGTTACACGGGAGTCGAGGAGCGGCAGCGCGAGGGCTTGGTGGGCGCCGAGGCGAGGTATGGCGAGGTGAAGTGAGGGCGGAAAGGGATAGGAAAGAGAACGAAGAAAAGAGAATAGAAAGCAACCACATGTTTGTGTCTTCGGTTCAATTGTGTTGTGTATCCTTGTTTTGTTTTCCACATGACATGAAATGACACAAAATGGTTCGGAAAGGGCATGGATGGAAACTGAGTTTTTTTGGTGTTTATATATATTTTTTTTTTTCAATCGTACAATCGTGGTGCAAATCGACGGGATGTAGAAATGACATGAAACGACTATTGTACGAAAGTGTCGGAGGCCTTGCTGTGCTCAACACTGAATCTACCAGGACCATCCAAGGAGTGTCCAATGGAGACCCATGAGGAGTCTATAGGGCCTAGAGTAGTCCATTTGTGAGCCGTTGGTTGGACCTGCTAGCCTCTTCAGATTGCAAATCGCAAAGCCAGCCAGTTCGGACGAAAGTCCGCCTCCTGCTCCAATGCTCGAGGCCGAGACGCAATAGCTGAAGAGCTGAACAGAGCTGAACAGATGGCCCGGCGGTCAAACTGGAAAAAGCTTGGACACCACGGACCAATATCATGCCCCGACCAGGGCAGAATGCGGATGATCACATTGCAGACAGGTTTCAAATAAGAACCCCTGCTCCCGCTACCATCAAATATCATACCCCTTGGGGCAGAATCCGGAAGGTTTGCGTAAACTGCTGAGTACTCGGGGATGACAAACAACACAGGGGCTCGTGTGTGAGGCTCATCTGTGAGGCTATGGGCTATGGGAGACGAGATCTCCAAAAAAAGGGTCGGAGGCTTCAGGGGATCTTGGCTGAGCGGAACCGAACATCAGAGTTGGCTTCAAGGTTCATCGACCCCACGCCATGTCTTCACGACTTCTTTATGAAAAAGGATGAAAAAGGCAACCTTTCTTTCTCAACAGCATCTCCCTCAACCCTGTCGGCAGACAGAGTGTCGGTCAGTATAGTGGTGACCTGAAACCGCCCTCCCCTCCAATGGGGCGGCAGGGAAGAGCAGGTCAGGAGAGGACGCTTCGTGATCTTGCTGAAGGTTATTGTTCTGCCTTTTTTGCAGGGCGGAACACTTACAAGGTCCACAATGGGTTGTGTCATTTCACCCTACAATCATGCAGGACTCTTTGCGCGAACAAGAATCCACTGAACTGCCTTGCCTTATACCATCCAGGACCTCGATTCTGGGAGCCACGCGGGGTAACCAAAACAAAGCTGGTTGTGTAAGGACGGGCTTCCCATCTCTACTGAGACATCCACTGTGGGGCCCAGCGTCATTGCTTGAGACCAGGCAAAGGAAGTTGGATAGGGATTTCAGGCTTCAAGAGCCCAGCCTATACACTCACATCATAACCAACAATGAGGTCAAGCTGTGATGGCTGAGGTCGTGATCCACCTTTAAGGAGGTGGAAGGATGTTCAATGGAAAAGCGCAGTGACAGGCCTCTTGAACAGCTATCCCGATCTTCGCTTCTGGCGACCACAACTACAATCAGCAAAACCTCCAGTTCCATTCCATTTGATCTTCGAGAACAGTAACTTCCCTCAGTTTCAGGGATGTTGCCATTGGTTTTTGGTACTCTTTCTCTCTCTAATTTAATATGTAAAACATTCTGATAATCTACAGACTACAGACACCCTCAATCACACGCGTCACATCGTCTCCACCCCGCTGGCGCAATGGCCTCGCGGCTGTTGTCCGCGCTGCGGAAGGGCCATGACACGCTGCTGGAGGCGCTGCAGGAGGTTGGTGGACTTGAGGAGCTTCCTGAGGAGGACCCCAAAGATGTGAGTGGGAAGGATGGAATGGGGAAAAAGAACTAATGGAATTCATGGAAAGTCGAATTTCAAGGCATAGTTGGCAGTCCTGCTTTAGCAACACCTCCAGTCTTGGCTCCATTCGGCGGTTGGTTCTCCATCTCCAAATGGCGAGTAGCCGGACCGGGTCGATCCTCTTCAGGACTGTGGAGAACTGGGGCGATGTAGCCTGCTGATCCACGCAGCCTACGCGGGCGATTGCCAGGTGGGACGGTGGAGGTCGGTGGGGCGAATCTTCTTTGGTCCGGTAGATCAAGCCATGACAGTCTTGCATGACAAGGTTTATTTCTGACAGTCTTGCAGTAGTAGCAGTATGTTTTAAAGACCTTTGATGAAGAAAGGAAAACACCAGCTCAATCATTTAGAGTCATAAAGTCTAGGAACCAAATCATCAGCGCGAGCGCTTCTTCAAGGAAGCTCCCGCGGCCCTCAGGCAAGAGAGGGCTACTTAGTTAAGCAGGATCTGGCAAAAAAAGAACACCATCCTCCCACTCCACTTGTGAGGCTGTTGAGACCTTGGTCTCGCATGGCGCCGACTTTCGGAGCCTCAGCGGTGCAGGCGGCAGTGGGTCAGTGGGGAACTGCATCGACTGGCTCTGCTGGCGACAGGAGCCACGCGTGGCACAGACCCTGGAGCTGCTGCTGGCGCGCTGGGCGGAGCAATTCTCAGAGGCGGAGGTGCGGAGAGTGGAGCTGGTTGGTGCAGGGTGGAATGAAGTGGTGGTGTTGGGATATTGGATTGTAATTACGGGTCCCAGCAGACGGTCTCAGCATAGGAGGTGAACACTGGGAAGCCCAAGCTCAAAAAGAAGAGCTTTGTTGGACAACCCCCATATGTTTTACAACGTTTACACCGATTTGCATCTATTTTTTCCCCTCACTTTTCTGGCCGAACACTGAACTGAACACTCGTGCCAGGTGAAGACCATGCTGAATACTCCGCGCCATCTAAGCCGGACGCCTTTGATGAACGCGGTCTTCGCGCCCAACGTGGCCTCGACGGAGGTGGAGCGAGTCGAAGGGATCCAATCCAAAGCAACGAAGAGTCACATCATCCACCACATCATCAATCATTAGACTGTTAATCATCTGCAATAATGACAAAATTCACCACCACCATCATCATCATCATCATCATCATCATCATCATCATCATCATCATCA